GCTACACTTATGTGATAGATATAAACCAGTAACGCGAGTCTGTCAAGATAAATGGCAAATAACAAATACAATGATATATTTGCTTTTGCCGGGTTAGTTTAAAAAATAAATTAGAACATGAAGAGTCGAACATATTATATGGTATAAGTCAAAGGAAAAGTGAGAACTCCAGAAGGGTACCCCTAAGGTCACATGGTCACTTTTTGAAATTTCCTCAGTTAACCAGATCACTATAGGTTGCATTTCTGTTAATATTGACAATGCAATTCCCCATAGGAACTCCTTTTACGGCTAAAACTGTACCACCTTTACTATGAAGTTTTGAAAAAAAAACATATCCTAGAATGGAAAGTTCATATGCACTACATTTTTTTTCAAAGTTGTGCGGCATATTTTCAACGTTTATATGCCCCGAACTAACACTAAATTTCTGAACTATCCCTACCTTGACTGTAGGATTACCACAGATTTCTATATAGACAATATGCATATGTATAATTACTGGTAACATTCCCAAGTTATAGGCAAAGTATACATTTCTAAACTGATCTGGTTCTCGATTTTGAACATTTTTAAAGTCACAGGTACTTTCAAATGAGACATCTGGTCGCAAAGTGGCCCACCAAACGCCTAAGGTCGCAGGTCGGATTTGACCATGTTGGTGCCATATATTGAGTGAATATCAAGTAGGCAACAATTCTTCAAACACTGCATCCAACTAAGACATTCGGATCTTACTCTCTTAAGTGGTGGCAAAGTGTACATACCATTTACATGTTTTAGATATAGTTATTGTCCCCCGCGCGTTGCGGGGACATAAAAATACCGGGCGTCCGTCCGTCCTTCTGGTCTTGTTAGTGCTTTCACGTGTACTATTCTTTTTTTTTTGTTTTTTATGTAACTTATATCATAGGTTTATATCAGCAATGTCTTGGACGAGTTCGAAAATCAGTGCCGTTTAGTTATTTTTAAAAGAGTTATGTCCCTTTGAAATATTAATTATAACAAATCGCATTGTATTTGCTCTGAAGCCTTCATTTCTCTATAAAAGTTTTAAAGAACAAAAAAAAAGTGTTTAATTTAGTTATTGCCCTTGTACCTTGGATAGATAAAATATGTGCACTTGGGACACTAAAGTGTTGTATTCATGAACGATTACAACTTGATGGGACTAGACAGCATTGACAATTACAAAGTAAAATAAGATTAGTATGTACTGCGTTCTCTCTAGTGTTGCAATCAATGAAATATAACCAAGTATGTAATTTGTCTTCGAATTAACCGTTAATCTTGTATATATGCACACATTCGCAGCTTAGTGGTTTAATTCCAAATCTTGGGATTAAATCAAAATCTTTTATTAAAGTTACAGAGGGGGATCCAGGGTCCGAGGAAAGAGGGCCGTAATTCACGAAAAGATAAAAAAAAAATGATACATTTTTACGATCAAAAGGAGGAGGAGGGGCGGGGGCAGCACTTGATTATATCTGATTTATGTATCTAGCTGTATACATTTTTCTTTCACTATGCAAACAACAGGTCAGTGAAAATTTCAGAGGGATTAAATTTGGGATTCAGTTAAACCCCTCCTCCCCCGCAAAAAAAGATCTAATGCTGCCGGAATCATGAAATTGTAAGGTATATGTAGTACGGTGCATAAATAGGAATAATGTATAATTGATATAATTTATTTGTTTGATATAATTGTGGCGGTAATAGCATAATTATATTTCCGGGATAAGCGCAATTCAAACTTAGCAGACTTATCTCTTCGTCTATATCGGAGATCCGGAACCCCCAACCCCCCAACCCTCCAACCATAATGCTACATTGTATATTCAATTTTGTTGAACCTTCTTAAAAAGCACAGATAAGAATGTGAGTGAAACAATGCAGTTTTATTCCCATTAGAAAATTAAACATCATCTACATATGTAATTTTTTACATAAAGTTCCATTTTTACATCTTTCGAATGGATGTTGATGATAATGTTAGTTTCCATTGTAGTCAGCAACACTTAACGATGGTATTTAGAGTTAATGTATGATTTTATGTATTTTCTTAAAGGTTTGGAAACAATTGAAGACATTAAAGATCTTAAACTGCAGAATTCTGCAAATAATAATTCCGTTTCCAAGGAAAAATAGGTTGCTATGGTGATAAAATTAATGAGTGTCTCAAGACTGTTTCTATTTAATTTGGTAAAGTAGTATTCAAACTTAATTACTACAATGCTCTCTATGCTATACACATTTGCACTTTTCAGAAAAACACGGCAGAACATTTGATAATTTCACCAAAATCCATGATTCATAAAAGTTGACAATATGCATTGTTTAGTATATTTTAACAAAAAATCTACATATTTTGTTTAACTGCAATCTTAACTAAAGAGAGGCTTAAACCAAGTTATATTAATGTTATATATGAAAATTGATAAAGTTTGATTCTATTCATAATCAGGCTCTGAATTGATTTTTGAGCAGTATTCAATTACTACTTTTACCAGGCAATTCACAGAAAAAATTGAAACCCTCATATATCATGTATATCGCAATCTGCCTGGTACTTAATTAAGAAACAAGTTTAACTATCAATATGAAGCTGACGATAGAACCCGTAATAAAAAAGTTAACTTGAAATCAAACTACGGAAACGAATTAGGGCCATCCCTTTTTTTTCAAATTGTCGACTTTCGTCTTGGAATTATCAACGTTAATCTTGGAATTTCCAACTTTAATCTTGGAATTTCCAACTTTAATCTTGGAATTATCGACTTTAATCTTGGAACTATCAACATTAAACTTGGGAATTCCAACTTTAATCTTGGAATTATCATCTTTAATCTTGGAATTATCAACATTAAACTTGGAAATTCTAACTTTAATCTTGAAATTATCAACTTTAATCTTCGAATTATCAACTTTAATCTTCGAATTATCAACATTAAACTTCGAAATTCCAACTTTAATCTTCCGACCCTCATTACTCCGACACTGATTTTTTCCGACTTTCATTAATCAAGCGAATATCTGAATTGTACGGAAGCTTATTAAAGTCATCCTTTTTTTTAAATTGTCGACTTTAATCTTGGAAAAATCAACTTTAATCTTGGAATTATCAACATCAAACTTAGAAATTCCAACTTTAATCTTGGAATTATCAACCTTTATCCTGGAACTATCAACATTAAACTTACAAATTCCAACTTTAATCTTGGAATTATCAACTTTAATCTTGGAATTATCAACATTAAACTTGGAAATTCCAACTTTAATCTTGGAATTTCCAACTTCAATCTTGGAATTATCAACATTTAAGCTTTGAAATTCCAACTTAAAACTTAAAACTTGGAGTTATAAACGTTAATCTTGGAAATGACTGATATTTTACCTCTAGCCCATAATTTATTGTGTTTCTCCGTATACTTAAAGTATAAAATTTCCAAGTTTAATGTTGATAATTCCAAGATTAAAGTTGATAATTCCAAGATTCAAGTTGGAAATTCCAAGATTAAAATTGATAATTCCAAGATTAAAGTCGACTATTGGAAAAAAAAATATAAAAAAGGATAGCCCTAATACGTTTCCGTATCAAACAGATGCATTATAGACATAAAAACTAACACAAAGTTTCATTGCGTACATAATTTTCAAATTCATGAAATAAATCACAGTTTGGAATTTAAGCACCGTTTCTAAACCAAAAAAAGTAAATATTCATACTGGTATATCTTAAAACACATGACATCAGGCCGCGCTTGCAATATCACATGTTCGTGTTCAGTGAAACGAAGCCAAATATATCTTTCAAAACCCTAATAGTCTGTAGCACTTAATTTCACCCCCAGTTGTTGCTGAAATTTGTGTTTTCAGCCTCTTTTTGGCATATGAATTAAAATGTCTACTTATTGAACATGTGTACTGAGTTTTATATTGATGTGACCACACACTATATTCCCTATTTTATCATTTTATTTTTAAATTTGCAGAACTTTTAGATGATGCCTTGTCCATTTAAATTCAAAACCCAATACAAGTAATTTGGTCATGTTACCCTTTGTCAACAAATCAATGAACAAAATGAGATAAAATTGAGAATGGAAATGGGGATATGTCAAAGAGACAACAACCCGACCAAAGAGCAGATAACAGCCGAAGGCCATCAATGGGTCTTCAACGCAGCAAGAAAAATCCGCACCTGGAGGCGGGCCTCAGCTGGCCCCTAAATAAAAATGTGTACTAGTTCAGTGAAAATGGACGTCATACTAAACTCCAAAACATTTAAATGAACTAAAATTAAAAAAGACATACGAGACTAACCAAGGCCAGAGGCTCCTGACTTGGGATAGGCGCAACAATGTGGCTGGGTTAAACATGTTTTGTGAGATCTCAACCCTCCCCCTATACCTCTAGGAAATGTAGAATAAAGAAACACACAGCAATACCACGGTAAAACTCAGTTTAAAAGATGTCCGAGTTCGATGTCAGAATAGTTAACAAAAGAAACTAAGCAAAATGACAATGATACATAGATTATCAAAGGACTACTAGCAGTTACTGACATGCCAGCTCCAGACCTCAATTAAACTGATCGAAAGATTATGTTGGAGATGTTTTGTTTTGTTTTCAACTCAAATTGACGTCCGTTCCTAAAATTGGATTCCCATTAGATGTCACATTAGCAAATCAAGATTGAAAATATATCAATCGGCGTCTTATTTGAAAAACAGTTGCCAGTATTATAAAATTGAGAATGGAAATGCTTATATCCACGTCATTTGAACTCTGGTGGATAGTTCATTGGCAATCATACCCATCTCCTTATTATTATATCAAGTTAAATCCATAAATTGTATTGATTATCTCAGGAAGCCATATTTCCCCTAGCCCCTGTTATCTTGTTTCCTTATATGCAAAACCTTAGGCTAGTAATTTAAAGTACTTAGTTTTCCTGTATGAACGTTCGATGTTTGTTATCTGTAATGTTTTCTTTTAAGGCGGGCTTTCAGGGTCTTTACCTGGTAGACGGTGGAATAACTGGGGTACTGAGAAGTGGTCGTGTACGAAAAGACACACGAGGCAAAGGTGTAGTGGGCAAATTTGGAGGATTCATTATGGAACACAATCCAAGCTTGACACATGTTGTATTTGCTACTGGCACAAATGTACCAACTATATATCAGAATATAAGAAAAGGAATATATCGATTTGTTGCAAAAAGGGTAATTTTATGTTATATCAAATTCCTTTTATTTTGTGCATCTTAAATTTAAATAGCATATTCATAAAATGATGTGGCCGATACTGTTAAGTATGTTATTGTCTGTTGATGTAACCGATCCTGTCCAGTAGGTAAAAGCGATAAGTGTGGCTATTACTGTCTAGAAAATAAGATTCGCTTGTTGTGGCGGATATTGTCCAGGAGGTAATAGTCGATTGATGTAACCGATACTGTCGATAATGTAATTGTCACTTGATGTGACCGATAATGTCGATAATGTAATTGTCACTTGATGTGACTGATACTGTCGATAATGTCATTGTCACTTGATGTGACCGATACTGTCGATAATGTAATTGTCACTTGATGTGACCGATACCGTTCCGAGTATATTTTTTTTTTTATTAAAGTTTACATGTATTTTACTTTTAGGTTTGTTTGTATTACCAAGCTAATAAATATTCATTAACAGAACCTTTACCTGAGATGGAAACACTTGAAAAAACTAAAGTTCTGAATCAAAATGATTTAATACAAATCATAAAACAGCAAAACTTGTATTCACAGATATTTAAAGATAACCGAATTATTATAGACACTGTTCCATACCGACTTATGGAATCGAACATTCCGATGATACTCATGGAAAGAACAAAAGCTGTCGCATCATACCTCGACGACAATAAGAAAAGTATTGTAACCTTCGTAAGTTATTTCAAGCTTAGCAATGGTGAAATATTTTGTAATTTGGATATCTATGGAGATGTAGGAAAGGCATTGGCCCACCATATTTACATTCATATTCAAAATTTTGTTGAGCACATTAAGGATATTTTCACGATTGAAGTTCGCTGTCACGAATCATCGCCAACTATTGATTCGGCAATGATAGAAAATGGACTCATATTGGCCCCAGTTGGTAAATTTGTCCGAAAAGAACTTGTATGCGTTGAAAATTCATTTTACCCAAATGCTGGACAATCCAGATTGTGAATAGTTTCAAACAACTGATTATTCGATGCTCATTTTTTTTTTAGCTAAATGCTATTCTAATACTTTGACAAACATAATTAATCTTTCTTAGCTCATGGTAGGTAATGCTGTTCTGCCAAAGAATTGTCTGTGTTGGTGAGTTGGTATTTATCGGTACTGACGATTGTTAAACATATGTAAATAAAGATGAAAATGATGATTTTTGAGAAAAAATATTTCAAATGTTTTATTTTTTTTTGTTTTTCTCATTGGTTTCTAGACGAACTGCTTTAAAAAAATGGTCCTCTATGCGGCTCTAGTATGCGTAACACATGTACAAGATCTCATCTTTAGTACATCTGGAATGGACAAAAAATAAACAAAAATGGAGTCCTCTTTCTGTACTAAAATCCGAAAAAATATAATAATTCGGGGAAAAACCATACTAATTTCTTGTGCATTTTTACTGTTCTGACATGTCCTGATTCTGTGCTGTTGTTGATTTGATACGTTGCTGATGATTTTGACAAGACGTTATTCTTATTTCAAAACCATCGCTGTAGAATCAATGGAATTATATTCGGTAAATAATTTCATTAAATCTGACTTGTGACACCTATTTTAAATTTGGACATCTGTTTGACTGTATAACTAGCTTTTTTCAAATAATCGAAACGACATATTATTTAAAATGGCAGCATCATCAAGTCAATATCAGATGAAAACATATTAAATTAGAATATAAAAATAAGAAGGTATAGTATGATTGCCAAGAAGACAACTCCCAAACAGAGACGAAATGACGTAGAAGTTTACAACTAATGTACGGCCTCTAACAATGAACATATTTGGCCGCATTGTAAGCCTATCAAATACCCAATTTTAATCAACATATAAAATGCTTACTGAAACGTATTTTGAAAGTACTCAAGTTTAAACAACAGTTTAAACGACACTGAACTTTTTCACTTAATACTTTGATCTGTGTCTTATCTAATTAGATACTTTTTCTTGGTATTAGATCTTTCGATGCGGGAACCCCGGGATATGCTTTATCTATATCTACCCACCCCCCCCCCCCCCCCCCCCCCCGAACAGAGTGCATCGATTTGTTTGATTGGTATATTCCAAATGAGTTTAGATAATCTAATTACTGTTGTCTCTAATTTCCCTCTAAATATGTACGTTGTCTTCACTAAATATGGCAAGATAATAGAGATTAGCAAACTTTTATATTTTTAATAATCTGGTTTAATTCAATCATATATGTGTGTGGGTGTTGCACTGTGTAGCTCATTCCCATATATGGCATAGATGGCGCTCTCACATGGAATTTTGAATTCCTGTATCTGGCACTTGTTAATTTGTTGTCAACAATGAAGCAGGTGCTGCAGGAAATAGTTTATTTAATTAAAATGGAAAAGATGCCAAACAAAAGAAATGCCAGGGGATCGCCATCAAGGGCCATTGGAAAGAAAAGGAAGACGACCAGCAGGGAAGATGGACAGGGAGTTAGGACCGTGGACATGACACAAAAGATGGTCTGAGTTGGACGTAAAAGAATATGCAGGAAAAGACAGGAGACCAAGATGGAACACGTGGAGACACAAGGACAAGAAGAAGCTGAAATATTATCAGGTAATGAGTCGGAGGAGGATGCATTTGCATTCCTCCCTTTTATGCAACAAATTTTGAAAAGGCATATAATACAATTGATTTCACCCCGACACAAGAGACTACCATTCATGACACAGTGGGGGAACACGTGCCTTTTAAAATTAAGGAAAAATTTGGAAGGGAAAGTTTATTGAGCTACATATTCTTTTGAGAACGCAAATAGAAATGGAGGAGAGTGACGAAGGCGATTTGAAATAAAAAAGGGGGAAAATTTGTATTGAAAAAAGATCGTCGGGTATTGATTTGTCATTAAAAGAATGGACTTCAGCAATCATAGGTTTTATGAGTGTTTACATTGAGAAATACAGGACTCGGGCACAGGAATTGTTAAAATATAATAATATGCGTGATATTAGATTAGCTGCAACGAGGTCATAGAAAAGAATCCAAATTTATCTTGGGGAAACATACACGGTGAATATTGGCTATTACACATCACATTTCCTACAGTACAAAACAAGACTTCAATGCAATCACAGGGTTATAGAACAAATACACAAAATCGTGGTCATTATAATTCAAATGCAGTTACACTTTCCAACACTTACACGAGAACAAACCAGCAATCACTGGTTACTAGTGGTAGTATAAATATGTCCTGTAAATACTATAATAATGGTAATGACTGTCCCTACCTCCCTCGTTGTAGGTTTAAACATGTATGTGAAATATGCAGTGCCAAACACAGAAAGGCCCAATGTAATAGCCGGGCCCAAGGAAGAAGTTACAAAAAGTATAAATTTTTATTCATTAGGAAATACTCCTGTTAAAATATCTGTCTTGCAAAATTATTTAGAATTTTTTCCACATAAAAATGTAGCACACGAAATTATATCTGGTTTCAAATATGGTTTTTCATTAAAATATGTTGGCTCCAGGGAACCAAGGGAAAGTTCCAATTTAAAAAGTGCAATACAGCTATCCAACGTTTTTAAAGAAAATTAATAAAGGAAGTTAAACTTGGTCGCATTGCTGGTCCTTTCAGATTCCCGCCTTTTCCCACACTTCAAATATCACAAATGGTGCTAGTGCCAAAAAAGGGTGGGGATTTTAGACTTATTCAACATTTATCCTACTCTAGAATAATTCAATAAATGATTTCATTGATAAAAACCATTGTTCAGTGCAGTTCAGTTCAGTGGACGAAGCAGCATGTTTGATCAAAAGACACAAAACATTTGCCCGTTTAAGCCAGTGTGATGTAAAGGCGGCTTTTCGCTTATTGCCTATTGCCCCGCAGGATTTTGACTTGTTGGGGATAAAATTTCAGGGTAAATATTATCTTAATAAAATGCTTCCAATGGGGAGCTTCAATCAGTTGTGCACTTTGGGAGAAATTTGCAAAAGTTGTGCATTGGATAATACAGCAAAAAAGTGGAAATGATGATATCCTCCATTATTAAGTTGATTTTCTTTTTGTCGAGTCGAGCGAAACATCAGAATTTGGCAATACTTTGAAGATATTCCAAGAGGTATGCGATAGTGACAAGACTACTTTGCCTACTACATTACTCACTTTTTGGGGTATAGAATTTGATACGCAAAATTTAATCATGCGACTTCCAAATGAAAAACTTGTCAAACTCGCACAAAAAATTAGAGATACCTTAGACAGTTCTAAACTTACTCTTAAGGACATGCAATCTCTTCTTGGGCTCATGAATTTTGCTTGCAAGGTGGTTGCTCCAGGTCGCACCTTCTGCAGCAGACTCATAAATTCAACAATGGGGGTAGGGAAATCATAATTCAAAATTCGAGTAAACAAGCAGATGAAAGCAGATTTGGAAGTTTCGTTAGACTTTTTAAAACAATACAATGGTGTGACTGTAATAACCGACAATGTATGGGTTTCAAACGAAAAATTAGTGTTGTTCACGGATAGTGCAGGGAGGTCCAAAGGTGGGTATGGAATCTATTTCGCAGGTCAGTGGGCCCAAGGCATACGGCCAAAACATTGGGTTGAAACTGGAATCACCAGGGATAAGACACTTTTAGAGTTGTTTCCAGTTGTAACAGCACTTATGTCCTGGGAATCACATTCTGTTAACAAAAACAGTTATTTTTCATGTTGATAATCAGGCGGTTGCTCAAATCTTTAATATGAAAACTAGCAAATCAAGTAGAGTTATGACTTAAGTAAAACAAATGGTTTTAATGAACTTAAAAAATAATGCCTCAGTTAAGGCAATTTATGTTCCTTCAAAACAAAACTAAATTGCTGATTGTTTATCCCGTTCTTAGTGGGGAAAGTTCAGAAGCCTAGCACCAGAAGCAGACCAGAGGCAAACCAAAATTCCAACACAGATCTGGAACATTTAAGTCAGGTGGCGGATTATATTGTCTACCAAGGTGTGTAAAAAAATACACAAAAATCATACAATTTGGCTCTGTCAAAACTTTGTAATTTTAGATCATCTTCCAAATTGAAACAGCTATGGCCAGTTCCAGTCAATGATTTGCTAAATTTTATAGCTTTTTTGTCAGTACAAGGTCTTTCAGGGGGTACCATATCATCTTATATATCAGGAGTTTCATATAATCATAAAATACAAGGCATACAGGATACTACAAAAATCTTTATAATTGGCAAGGCATTAGAGGGAATAAAAAGAACTCAAGGAGAAAAACGCAATGACATTAAAGCACCAATTACAGATGTGATAAGTTGTTTAGATAAAGTATGTAAGAATAAATATGAAGCTTTATTTTCAGCAGTTTTTTCAGTTGATTTTTTTGATTTGCTTAGGGTAAGCTGAGCTGAGAGTAAGGTGGTCAAAAACTGACCAAAAGGGAAAGTCCGTTACTTTATTGCTTCCCTGAACAGAAAAAACTACTGTCCGCTACGACTCACTAACGACTACTTAAAGGTACGACCTAGCTGTAACAATAAAGATTTTTTTATACATTATAATGGTATGCCTTTAACTAGATACAAATTCAGCAGTATACTGGAAAAGGCTTTAAATTTTCTTCATATCAGTAAAGGTCATTTTATGTCACAGAGTTTTAGAATTGGGGATGCCACTGAACTGACCAGGCAGGGGGTATTAAAGGAGGTAATTATGAAATGAGGCAGATGGAAATCGTATGCTTATTCTCGCTATATTAGGTTGCAACTTTTCTAGTAACAAAAAAGGCTAACAAGCTACAAGTTTTCACAGGTCCCAAGATTTTATGGATTGTTGGAAGTTCCCTTGTTCATTGGGCCAATGTAGAGGCAAAGAAATATGGTAGGACCAACCTTGGACTGGAGTCCAAAGGAGTCACAATTATACTGGATTGGTCAACCTGGTTTACAGTAAAAAGATTTGGACTCCCTACTGGATGCGAAAAGGAAATTTTTACCTTCTCCTAATTTGATGATTATTCACTGTGGAGCTAACGATTTGACAGATTTAGAATTGACAGGGAAGGGTTTAATTGAAAATGTAAAATATTCTATCCTACGTTACCAGGCTTTATTCAAAAATTTTATAATAATCTGGTCGTCAATGCTACAGCGCAGATACTTGCATTTTGCACCCTTAAATGCTGGTCCAAT